GCATTTGTTTGTAACAGGCAAAAAGAAACGAGATAGACCCATAGTTCCTTTTGATGATCTGCATAGAATCACATTCTGAGTCGATTTATGCATGTCCGTCCGTCTGTCCATGTTTTTTGTGAACAAAGTACAGTTCGCATTTATTACCCGATCCAGATGAAATTTTGCACAAATCATTTGTTTGGCCCAAGGACGAACCCTATTGAAATTGGAGACAATCGGTAAAAATTTAGATATAGCTCCCATATATATCTTCGTCCGATTTGCCTTTTATTGTGCACCAAACGTGTAATATCAGCCCGAATAGTATGGAATTTTGCACATACAACAAAATTAGGCCTGAAAATAAGTATGCCAAATTTGATCGAAATCGGTTCAGATATAGCTATAGCTCCCATATATATTGTTCATCCGATTTGTTATATCTGTTACCCACAGCCGTAATATGCACTCCGTAACAACGATATTCAGGGAAATATATCAAATATAGCTCAGAAATACCTTTGCCAAATTTTATCGAGATCGGTTCAGATTTGGATATATCTCCCATATATATCTTCGTCCGATTTGCATTTTATTGTGCACCAAACGTCTAATATTTTCCCAAATGGGATGGAATTTGGCACTTACGACCGAATTGAGTCTAGAAGCTAGTATGTCAAATTTGGTGAAGATCGGTTCATATATAGCCGTAGCTCCCATATATATTGTTCATCCGATTTGTTACCCACAACTGTAATATGCGATATTCAGGGATATATATGAAATACAGCTCAGAAATATCTTTGCCAAAATTTATCGAGATCAGTTCCGATTTGGATATAGCTGCCATATATATCAAATGGGCAATACAAGTCCGAATTTAAGAGATACAAATGCTTCGGCATATTTAGTCCTTCGAACTTTAAATTATAATTATAATCATAGCGCGTATGATTGAATTCTCCCATAAAAACTTTTAATTGTTATGTGGAGCTCAACTAAATTAGCAAAGTGGTGTAACGTCGGCCCCGCCCGACTTTAAGGCTTTCTTTACAGGTTCAAGATCAAATAAGTCACAAACGTATATTTATAGAAATATTTTTTCAAGGTCCCGAAGAGTCATAATCGCATTCACGATTCAAGGACTAAACGAGCCACAAACCTGGATTTTTAAAGGATATTCTTTCAAGGATTAAAGAACTCAAAGGGAAAAAGAGACACATGCCTTGACTTTATAGAATATTTTTTCAAGATCCAGACGTAAATTTTTGAGAGCTTATTTTCAAGGACCATTAAAGTTACCAATGTGAGTTTTCTCCAGGACCCAAGGGATCCAGTTATGGACTTTTAAACATTATTTTTCAGAGATAAATAATCAGCAATCGTGGATTTTTTCGGAGCATTTTTCAAGGCTATCTTGAATTTTTAAAGAGGTTTATTTAAGGTTTATCAAACCTGCAATCACGGATTTTAATAGATATTTTTTTAAGGATAGCTCATAGATTGTTTAAGACAGTTTATGACAGAACGATTAGAGATAGGTTGGCTTTGTTTCATCCTTCAATAAAACTGACCTCCTCATGAGTACCTATTTCCTTTGCGTGCTTCGAGTTGCTCACCAGTGAGTGGTCTAGCTCCATTCTATCCAGGTCAATCAGCCTTGGTCTATAGCTTTGCGATGTAGTCAGCCTTGGTTTACCAGCTTTAGGTACATAAGTCACTGTGTTGGTTAGGTTACTTTTGGGGGGGTGGGGGGAGGGGGGTGTGATTCGTAATCAGGATTTCGTAAGGCTTTCGGACCTTTTCTAGTCAGTCCTTTCGGATTCCTATAGGGTTTCAAAATAATACCAATACAGGTTGAGATGAAAAAACTGGAACCAATTTCAGACTGCTGTCATTTCTAAGCCACTCGTCCGACAGCTGTTAAAATTATTCCAGTGACAGCTCATTATATTGTTTACAAGCGTACAAAAGCATTTTGGTGAGAATTTTCCAGAGAAAAAAGTTATTCGTGATGGAATTCAAGGGTGATAATGTGTTTTTTATATTTGGCTGGAAAACCACAAGTGGCTATCGTTAGAGCACTTTAGCATTTAAATGTGAATAAACCTTTTGTGTCTCATACCATCGCTCGTCGTTGCCGTGATACTGGTAGCGTAGTATGACGTCAAGGAAGTGGACGGAAGAAGACGGCAACATCAGCAGAAATGTTTCGAAAAGTAAAGAACCGACTTGATCGAAACCCGCGTCGCAGTGGCCGAAAAATGGCCCGTGAGCTGAATTTAACGCAATATTCCATTCAGCGAATATTGAAAAATAAGTTCGATGTAAAGCCATAGAAATTCCAAAAAGTACAAGAACTTATACCGCAACACATAGAAAATAGACTCATGGTGATGGTGCGGGTCGCCATAGCAACCGATGGTCCGCTCGTAGTAATCGACCGTGGCATCAGAATAAATGCCGAATATTATAGCGAAAATATTCTGGAGAGTGTATTAAAACCTTGGGCACGCAAAAATTTTGGCCGCAGACCTTGGACATTACAGGACAGGACTTATCACCATCGCACTCAGCACACGCTACCCAAGAATGGTTACAAAATGAGGTTTCTCGCTTCATTTCCAGCGCACAATGGCCACCAAAATTTCCGGATACCAATTCGTTGGACTATTGTGTCGGGAGTATTTTGGAAAGCAAGGTTGGCACTAAAAAATACCAAAGTGTCAAAGTGCAATGGGCCAAAATAACGCAGAACAACATTCGGGCAGCGTGTGACGGTTTCATTGGCCGTTTAAATGCCATAATTCGTGCCAAAGGCGACCAATTCGAACAAATCTAAACTTATTCTAAAATTTTATGCTATTTCCGACATTTTTGCTTACATTCAATAAAATTAAAAAAAAAAAAGTTAAAAAGCAGTAAATTCGGCTGAACTTTGAATATCCTCCACCATTTGGAACGAATTTGGAAATTTTCAAAAAATAAAATCCTTTAAAAATTCTGTTAAAATCTGGACCCGCAAAGGCATTGTTGCCATAAGTCATTACCATATTCAAATTCGAAACTTGAAATAAACGGTGAACAATGTAGCTAAAATCATAAAAATACCGAATATAGGGAGGTACCGTTATATCGAAGTTATACGAAGACCTGGAACTGCATGGAAAATTTTCTGTCACAGTTGTAGCATCCATTGCGAACTTCAAATACGACATCTCAAATAATTTCGGTGAGTATTGTACCTAAAATCGAAAAGCGAATATGGGGTATTCGACTATTTTCTGTCATAGGCTGTAGTATCCATTTCCAACTTCAAATGCCAAATTTGAAACAATTCCGGTGAAGAGTGTCGTTAAAATCATCAAAATACCGAATATCGGGAGGTACCGTTATACCTTTACGAACTTAACCTGCCTACTGGCAAAATTAACATGTGTGCAAAATTGTAGCCTTCTACCTCAATTCTTTCGAAAGATAGCGTGATTACACCAGAGAGGCGGACGCACAGACAGACAGACGGACGGTCGGACATCGCTAAATCGACGTAGAATTTTATGCTGATCAAGTATATATATACACTTTGTGGGGTCTGACATGAGTATTTCGAGGAGTTCCATAGTATGGTGGAGGGTATAAAAATGTAAAAATTATGGCGTTTGACTTTGCTGCAGTTTTTTATCTCACCCTTTATATCTCGAAATATATATTTTTTATTCTCAGACATATGACATATTGATACGGAAAGATGGGATATATTGGTCCACTCATTCAGGTACTTCCCCCACAAAGGGTCAAAGTTTTGAATATCCATGATATTAACATCTGATTTCATTCAGACTTGGTACATCTCAATATTTCCATCAACACAAGATCTGTTATAAACATAGTAGAGATCCGACCATTTCTTCTGGTACCTATTTCGGGCGACTATATTTGGTACCTCACCTCCAAAAATTATCACATATCTCAATATAAAGTGAAGGTAGATATAGACCAGTAGGCGATATAGTCCAAACCTGGCACATCGCAATATTTATATGATATTTATTTAGGTCCGATATGAAATGGAGAATGTTGGCCCATTCCTACGGAACCTACTCCATAGAGGGTAAACAATTTGGGTAATCATATCAGAAGTCAAAATATAATTAAATAATCGAACATTGGCTGAGGGTATACATCAGTCGGCTGACACCTTTTAATCTGTTTTATAAAAAATTCGGAATTTTTATTAACCCACTCAATTTTTTTAAGCTATATGGCAACTCTGTTGATAATTGGTTATTTTGCAATGATGAGACGATACGCAAAATATTGATAAACCAGGGGTTGGAATGTGTGATGATGAACTTTGGCATACGGAAACAAGACCAACAAATAACAATGATAATAATAATCGGAAAAAATAATAAGGGTAGGCAAAAGGATACTTTTCCTGTGATTCCAGGCATGTGTGTGTGCGTGTGTGTGTGTGTATGCTTACTGTCCTTCCATGTAGGGGTATGCGTATGGTAGATAGTGATAGTAACATAAGCTTATTATGAATTTATGATGTTTCACATTTCAAAACCATGAGCTGTTCAGTTGAGTTTCATTAAATTCCGTACGGCTGTGTGAATCCAGTGGCGACCACTGCAGGTGGTCGGTCGGTCCGTGGGTCGGTTTGGTCGTCGATGACAGCATATGAGAAGATTGCCATAAAAGCGATTTATAATTGAATCCGATGAAAATGTGGCATTGGAAATGAGATACAATGATACCCAATGTCCTTGGGTTCTCTCTCGTCCTTCTAATTCTTCGGCATTATAAGCCGATTTCAGGAAACCTCAACATTTGACATTATGCGGAAAAGCGTTGGGGTGGTATTTTGTCATTCTAATTGTGACGTGTGTTTTTGTGCTTTTGTTTATGGGCCAAAGGACCGGCTTATTTGTGGCAAATATTTAAGTGTTTAAGCAGAGAGTAATGTTGGGTGGGAGAACTTTGTCCTTGCAAATAAACCTCTTGGTTTTTACCTTCCTCCCGCATCGCACCGAGCTTCGCAACACGTGCAACCCATTAATTTATTTGGCAACTAAAGTCATCAACTTTGTAGTGGCGTTATCTCGTTGCGTGTTCTTTATTCTCGCAGCTAGCACGTGTCGCCGAGGAAGTAACTTGTACCAACCTTGCTGCCTGGGCATTCACATTAGTCACTTTGCATTCAAATCGTTTCTTTTATTGTTTTAAACTGGCGGCAATCACACTTCAGTCCTCGTTGGCTTTTTATTCTTGTGTTTTGGTCTTGGTTTGTTTTTTTTTCGGTTCGTAAATATTGTCACTTTCGGATGTAATGAATTCATTTGCTGGATCTGTCCACCAAAGGACATGGGGGTGTCATTGTCTCAATTATTCCTTCTCCATTGTTGTTGGTATTCGTTTTTATTGTTTTCTTTGCTAATCGCCGACGCCTAGGAACAAATTAATGTCGTTAAGGATATCCGTTGTGGCCAGGACTACAAATCTTCATTGGATATGCGGCACAGTGGTACCTTTTTGTTATTTGAAATATTAAAATGTTTGAATTGACTGAAATAAAAAAAATTGAAAGTAAAAATGAAACAACAGCTCCAAGGTCGTATAATTTTATGTTGAATAACATTTCAAATTCCCGCAAAGGTAAAAAATTAAAAAAATTGATTTTTGTGAAATAACTTTTTTTTTAATTTTTCCTTCAAATTCCCGAAGAGGTAAAAAATTATAATAAAATCGATATTTGTGTGATCATAAATTTTCTTATACCCTAGCCATATGACTAGAGAGGGTATATATCATTCGTTACGGCCAAAATGTGCCTCAACGGTAATAATGGATTTAGACCCTAGATCTTTTTGGACCAAATTTGTTTCAAGACATTTGGAGTCGATTTGGATTTCCGTCCGACCATCCGTCTGTCTAGCTGGTGTATTCAAGGTGAGTGTTCAGTTTGGCTCAACCTTGTTACATTGATATGACTATTATCGGTCAACTCGTTCTGGTACCTCACCACAAAAGGACAAAATTTTAACAGAAAATAATTTATGTTATTCGACAAAAAACGATCATCCGATTCTGGGAAAATTTTGCAATTCCTAAGGTTTTTATTAGTGCTAGGTCAGGTGCGAAAATTAAATATATTGGCCCACTCTATCAAATACCTCACCCACGAAGGCCCAAAATATAGAATATTTATAGCTCTTATATAATATGAAATAAGAGCTCGATTGTCTTCAAATTTCGAAAATCATAATGTTTTCTATAAACGCAAGATCTGGTAAGAACGGGAGCACTCCTACTGGTCACTCCCCCACAAAGGTGTCAAAATTTTGAATAACCATGAAGCACATAAAACGCTAAATAAGTACTTTCAAACTTGGCATATCTTACCATATTCATCAACGCAAGATCTGGTGTGAAGATGGAATATGTCGGCCCACTGCTTCTGGTACTTGGGATAAAATACGAATTAAGCATCAGATTATGTTCAAGTTGCACACAACCCAATAATTTTACCAACGAAAGATCTAGTAAGAAACCGTTCTGGCATCTCTCCCAAAAAGGGCTCAAAATTTTGAAAAATAATATCTCTCATAATATGCGAAGCAAGTATCAGGTTCTTTCCAAAGTGCACACATCCTAAAATCTTTATCAAAACAAGATCTAGTGTGAAGATGGGATATATCGGACCACACTTTCAGGTACCTTCCCCACAACGGGTCAATATTTTAATTATTTTTAACTCTCATCAAATGCGAAATAAGTATCCGATTATCTTTAAAATTCACAGATCACAATATTGTGAAGTTAGAAAATATCGGTCCACCCTTTTATGGTACCTCCCTCATAAATTGTCAACAATTATATCTCTTAATAAATTGAGAACAAAATCGGAAATTTGTTTCAGGATATCTAAATATTTCTCTCAAGTAGAGATCTGATGCGAATATGTAATTCATCGACTCATTTCTTCTAGTATCTACCCCACCACCAAACATTCCCAAAACCACCTCCTCTATACCAGATACCAACAGTGACCTCAATATTAAATTTTATGATTCCAGCCCTCTCCCTTCACCCAATACCAATTTTAGTACCATTTAGTACTTTTCGTACAAATATAGGACGCTTTTCCAAACCACCGTCAAATCTCAAACTCAAATATCATAAGTAATCTTAATATTAAATTTCAGAATTTTATTTTTATCCCTTCACCTGATACCAAATTTAGTACCATTCAGTACATTTCGTATAAATATACCTCACGTACCAACAGTGATTTATCCCTTCAACCAATACCCAATTTAGGACCATTTAGTACTTTTCGTACATTTATAGAGCACACTTCCAAACCCAAGCAAAAGACCTCAATATCAAGTTTGAGGATTCCAGTTCTATCCCTTTACCCAATACCAAATATAGTACCATTTGGAGTTGTTCGTATAGGAGGCAATTCCGAACCAAAACCAAAATTAGAACCATCAGTAATCTAAAAATCAAAATTCAGAGATCTCTATCCCTTCACCCAAAAAAAAATATAGTACCATATAGTAATTTTCGTACAATTATAGTACACATATTCGAAGTCACATCCATATGTCCACTTGTAGTACAAATAGGTAGTACCTATTAGATACCCTAATACAATATTTTAGCTTCATCCGTTCACCCTAAGCCAAACTGTTCCCAATTTTTTTATAATTTAGTACAGTTCCAACACTTAGTACATATTTCCAACCTTGATTTTTATGCCAAATCTCAAGTTTTAATTTCTATAGGTTCACATATACCAAATAGTATTATTTCAGAAGTTTAGTAATATTTTAGAACTCACCTCAATTTAAAGTTCAAATTTCCAATAACCCTTCATTCCAGCTTCATCTGTTCATCAAAATTCCAATTTGTACCAAGTTTAATACACTTTAGTACAGATAAGTACGAATTTTCTAAACTTCCTGTGTAACTCAATCCTATACTCCGACAGTTATCCCAATTCCAAGGATTTCACCCCTGTTGGTTCGCCCAAATACAAACTGTACTTTATACAAGTACAAATTTCCTAAACTACCCGCATATCCTAATCTCACGCTCCGATAGTAATCCTATTTGCAATTTTCAGGATAACAGCTCCAATTCCACATTGTACCAAATTTAATACCATTTAGTGCACATAAGTACGATTTTCCAAAACTACCCACATTCCGCAGTGCTAGAACGCAATAATAATCTTATTTCCAAATTTCATAATTTCAGCTATATAGGTTCACCCAAATCGAAATTGTAGCAAATTTAGTACTGTTCGTGTACTTGAGTAAAAATTTCGAAAACTTTTTCCATATCCCAATCCTGCAATTCGCCAGTAACATTAATATCAAGTTTCAGGATTTCAGCTCCATCTGTTCCTCCAAATTCAACTTGTACTAAATTTAGTACCGTTTGGTACTTTTTGTATACATGAGAGCACACTCCCAAAAAAAAAACCTCCTTACATCGTCTCTACTTCTCAAACTTGATTTCCATTCCAAATTTCAAGTTTTTAACTTTAATAGTTCTCTTGATACAAAATGGTATAAATGTAGCATATTTTAGTACTTTTCATATACTTATGGAGCGAATTTCCAAAAACCCTTTAGTACATCTGTCTTACAATCCATCAGTGACCCTCATTCTAAATTTAAGAGTTCTACAGCTCCCACAAATACAAGTGGTACCATCTTTGGTACCATTTAATACTTTTCGTACCGTTCTATGAATCGTTAAGTCAGTCAGTGAGTCACCCAATCAGTCAGGCAATTACTTTACTCTTTTATTATAATCGATATAGATATGTTGCTATATATCTGATATCTTGGCTATCAGCACCAAAGTAACGGCCAGAAGTGACCTTTCGTTAGCATGTGTGATTTCGCCGAACTTAAAAATAATCGTGGCTTAATGAAAATGTTGGTATATTGTTAAGCATTGTTAATAGTATCCGATGACCATCCAAATTGGTAGGCTTATGTCAAGACGTAAACTCTTATACAAGGCAAAACTCTGCGTCGATTGGTCCATAAGTGTGGCTTGTAGAGAACCGAAAATTTTTCTGGGTTTTGTCCATTTCAACCACTAAATATTTTTCGATCATTTCTACAACTACTCAATGTGGCGAAATAGGAGGATCCATACATTGCATAGTTGGTTTAGGACCAATATTTCGAGGTGTAACAAAATTGTTGACCCAATCAAACCAACTGTTGATTCAAACACATATTTTTTATGGCCTAATCAGGTATTTGTGTTTGAATCAACAGCCTTAGTTTTAATCCCTCCACCATACTATGGAGGGTATATTAATTTTGTCATTCCGGTTGTAACTCCTCGAAATACTCATGTCAGACCCAACAAAGTATATATATTCTTGATCAGCGTAAAATTCTAAGACGATTTAGCCATGCCCGTCTGGCTGTCTATCTGTCTGCCTGTCTGTCTGTATGTTGTAATCACGCTATCTTTCATATGGCTCCCATATAACGGTACCTCCCGATATTCGGTATTTTGATGATTATAGCGACATTATTCACCGTAATTGTTTCAAATTTGGTACTCGAAGTTCGAAATGGATACTACAACATAAGACAGAAATTGGGCCATGTTGGTCCACATCTTCGTATAGCCCCCATGTAACGGTACCTCCCGATAAGCGGTATTTTAATGATTTTAGCGACTTTATTTACCGGAATTGTTTCAAATTTGGTACTCGAAGTTCGAAATGGATACTACAACCTATGACTGAAAATTGTCTGTGCAGGTCCACGTCTTCGTATAGCCCCATAAAATGGTACGCCCCGATATTCGGTATTTTGATGATTTAAGCGTCATTATTCACCGGAATTGTTTCGAATTTGCTATTTGAAGTTCGCAATGGATACTACAGCCTAAGACAAAAAATTGTCCATGCATGTCCACGTCTTCGTATGGCCGCCATATAAAGGTACCTCCCTATATTTGGTATTTTGATGATTTTAGGGACTATATTTACCGGAATTGATTCAAATTTGGCATTTGAAGTTCTAAATGGATACTACAGCTTAAGACAGAATATTGTCTGTGCAGGTCCACGTCTTCGTATAGCCCCCATATAACGGCACCGCCCGATATTCGGTATTTTGATGATTTTAGCGACATTATTTACCGTAATTATTTCATATTTTGTATTCGAAGTTCGTACAGCCTATGCCTGAAAATTGTCTGTGCACGCTTATGACAAAAGTTGCGAATGCAGGTCCACGTCGTCGTATTGACCCTAGTATACGTCTACATTCGGTATTTTTAAGATTTTAACAGAATTTTTAATGGATTTTAATTTTTGGGAAAAATGCCAAATTTGTACCAAATGATGGAGGGTATTCAAAGTACGGCCCATCCGAACTTACAGCTTTTTTACTTGTTTTTTTTTTTTATACTGAAATATTCCCCCATTGGCTTGACTTTTTTATTACTCTCTCTCTCTCTCTTTCTCTCTCTCTCTCTCTCTCTCTCTCTATTAGATTGTGTTAAGAGTAATTTTTGAA